ACATCACCTTGGAGAAATTCTTTCAACGGATCAAAGAATACAAGCTGAGGTTAAACTCGCAGCAGTGTACTTTCAGCGTAACAGCAGGGAAGATGCTGGGCTTCTTGATCACACAGAGGGGCACCGAAGTGGATCCTTCCAAAATCAAGGCCATCCTAGAAATGCCACCACCAATGACTGAAAAAGAGGTGCGAGGTTTCTTGGGTAAAGTGCAATTCATAAGACGGTTTATTTCTAAATTAACCTTGACTTGTGAACCACTTTTTGGTCTCTTCAAGAAAAGAAAGAAATTCCAATGGGATAATCGATGTCAATTCGCTTTTGAGCAGATTAAGCAGTACCTCCAGAATCCACCTGTGTTGTCAACGCTAGAGCCAGAGAAGCCTTTGATTCTGTATCTGTCAATCACAGACACCACAATAGGATGCATGCTTGCACAGGAATTTGAGGATAAAGTGGAGAAAACCATCTATTATTTGAGCAAGAAAATGCTGGATTATGAGACCCGCTACACTCCGTTGGAGAAAGCTTGCCTAACCTTGGTATGGGCTACCAGGAAGTTAAGGCACTACTTATTAGCTCACTCTGTAATTATGGTTTTGAGATTAGATCCCATCAAATATCTCTTTGAGGAACCAACGCTTACGGGTAGGCTAGCCTGTTGGTTGCTTCTTCTCTTCGAATTTGATCTGAAGTATGTCACTCGCAAGTCAATCAAGGGGAGAGCTGTGGCGGAGTTCTTAGCAAATCACCCAGTAGAAGGGGATGAAGCGGTCAAATACCTATTCCCAAACAAAGCCATTCTGCAAGCTGAGGAGGAGACTTGGACAATGTACTTTGACGGAGCGTCCAATCAATATGGTTATGGGATAGATGTGTTGCTAATAGCACTCGACAATTCCCATATACCTTTAGCCTTCAAACTTCGGTTCAAGGTATCCAATAACGAAGCAGAATATGAGACGTGTATCACGGGATTAGAAACCGCCCTAGAACTAGGGGCAAAAAGGTTGGATGTTATCGAGGACTCGAACCTAGTTGTTTCTCAAGCAAATGAAGACTGGAAAGTCAAAGAAGAAAAGATGAAGATGTATCATCAGACCCTGGATATTCTGATTCTTAGGTTTGAAAAGCTGACGTTCACGCATCTACTGAGAGAGAACAACAGGTTCGCTGACACCTTATCAACTCTATCTTCTATGATAGACATCCCGCTGGGAGTCTGAATGCGTCTGATCATCATTGAGCAGAAGTACACGCCAGCCTATGAGACTATTGCCGCAATAAATGAAGCGCAAGATCAAAACCCTTGGTACTACGATATCTGGAATTTCTTCGAAAATGAGATTTATCCACCAAGGGCAAATGCCAAAGACAAAAGGGCAATACGGCGGATGGCCGTCTAATTTATCATTTGCAGAGGTAAACTATACAAGAGAGGTCATCTGGGAATGCACAAGTTGTGTATCGAAGAAGAGGAGTCAAAGTGCCTGATGGAGGCCATTCATGGAGGAGAGTGCGGAGTGCACATGAACGGAGTAATGTTGGCCCAGAAGATTCTCAGACAGGGTTACTATTGGTCTACCATGGAAGAGGATTGTATTGGTTTTGTTCGGTGATGCCACAAATGCCAAATTCATACTAATCGCATGAACATTCCGCCATCGAAACTATACAATATGACTTTACCATGGCCTTTCTCAGTCTGGAGAATCGACGTCATCGGTGCAATCACACCATAAGCGTCGAATGGGCATGAATGCATTCTGGTGGCAATTGATTACTTCACAAAGTGTGTGGAAGCTCAGTCTTACGCACTGTTGAAAGCAGCGCATGTGGCTAAGTTCATCTGAAACAACATCATTTGCCGCTATGGGGTCCCAAATGAGATCATTTCAGATAATGGTTCCCACTTCAAGAAAGAGGTGATCGAAATGTTGGGGAAATACAATGTGACTTTTCACAAGTCATCTACATACCAGCCACAAACCAACGGAGCTGTTGAGGACACCAACAAGAACATCAAGCATATTTTGCAGAAATGGTTGAGACCTACAGGGACTGTCCAGATCGCATTCTGGGGCTATAGAACTTCAATCCAGACGTCTACAAGGGCAACTCCTTATTCTCTTGTCTATAGGATGGAAGCTGTTCTGCCAATCAAAATAGAAGTCCCGTCACTGCGAGTTATGGCCGAGTGTCAAATAGCAGAGGCGGACTGGCAACAAAGCAGGTTTGAAGAATTAAAGTTGTTTGATGAGAGAAGGCTGAAAACATTGTACCATGTTTAGGGCTATTAACGCAGGATTACTAGGGCTTTCAACGAGAAGGTTAAGTCCTGGAATCTCAAAGAAGGGGATATGGTGTTGAAAGACAACCGAGCTCTCATCCATGACCCTAGGGCCAAGTTCAGACCCAATTGGACTGGTCCTTGCATCATCAAAACTATCTGGTCGGGTGGAGCTGTTATTTTCATGAACCTGGATGGTGTAGAATTTTCCCAACTGATCAATATGGACAAGTTGAAGAAATGCTATCCCTGAGAGGCTCGCTAGGCCGAAAACTCGAAAGGGCGACCTAGGCAAAAGTTAGAGCATAAAAAATTAGAAATAAAGAAAAACTGAGCTCACAAGGTTGAAAACCCTAAAGGGTAGCCTTGGCAAATGTTAGAGTGCAAAAGAAGAGAGTTAATACTTAAGTAAACCAGAACCGAACTACGTATGACTTGATTTCCATTTTCGGGATACGTAGGCAACTTCATCCTAAAGTCCGGCCGTAAATACCTCCAACTCAATTGTCCTGTCCATGTGTTTGATTAGGCCATCTTTGTCTGTTCTTTACCTAAAAGTTCGGTTGTGATCTCTACTCTGAGAGAAGAGCTGGTTACAATGCTGAGCAGTGCTATTTCAATCAAGAGGCAATTTGTGATCTTTGGATTCGAAGTTGTACATTTTGAGGATTGATTTCGTGCATGTCAAGTGGTGATCCTGTTCGAAAATGGTTTTGGAAAGTTTTAATAAAAGTTGATTTTTTTCAAATTTTACCTTTTACAACTTAAACCATTTTTGAACTAAAAGGAAAACTTTCAGTGCTCACAACTTTAATTTCATTAATTTTAATACAAAGTTCTCTAACTCTCGATACAAATCAAAGTTGCTTTTATTACATCAAAAAAAAATTGTAAAGAAAGATCAAAGCAATAAACTAGAGGTATAGATGAGTCAGGTGCTCATGCGTCCCCCGTTCGTGCTCGTGGAAGTTTCTGATGCCAAAGTGGGCCCGGTTTGTGCCTCATCCTCGAGCCAAGCCAGGCATTCGCCAAAAAGGGCACAATTGAAACTAGGGACAGGGGCCAAAAGCTCTCTCGTCCTCCAAGCAGTGAGGTACCTAGCCAAATGTGAACCTCGGATGGGGAATGAAACCAGGTATTCCATCCCCTCCTCTAAGCGGGTCTGATCATGTCTGAATTGACGTCTAAACCGGAAAGGGAAGTAGAATACATAGTGTGTAAGGCCAATCAGCTGAATATCAGGTTGTTGAGTTATGTTGTAGCTCATTTTAGTCAGATTAAGCCAGGGGCAACGCTAAGCAATGTCAACAGCAGACCTGTTACACATCCAGTGGCACCACCATCCCTCATTTGGGAAATCCACTAGTCAGTGGCGGAAGAAATAGCTTCGAACTGAGTACTCAGGGCATGAGTCCACTACCTTCAACTTATCCATAAGCCACACATGGGAAATAATGAAAAAAAAAAGAGAGATTAAAGAATAGAGAGATGTACATTGAGAGAAAAGTGAGAAAAGGGTTTTGAGAGAAAAATAGAGCATAAGTGCCGAGTGATGTGAGAAACACATATAAGAAAGGGTAGGAAACATTACCTGTAGAAGTAATGGACTCCCCGCGAAGTTGGTGGTCTCCCATCGATGGAAAGCGTCTAAGCCCATCAAAGTCTCGGCCAGCACTAAGCCAATGTAACTCTTGCCTTCTTTCAAACCTTGGGCCACTTTGACTAATTGAACGCTGGATTCGCCAAAGTTAGGGGAAAGAAAGAAATAAACCAGCATACACAAGCAGAGGGCATGTTGCCGAAAACCCCGCCAGAAAATGTCACCTCGGTCACCGACGTCAGAACATTGATGAATCAGATTGGGAATATCCAACTCTCCATTGTGGACCAAAGATCGAACCTCGTGTAGAGTGAGCCCACACATCCGTCCTAAAGCTTGGACGTGGCCAAAATGGGGCTGAGGTATGATTTCTTCATCACGTCAGGATTCCATTAGTGCCTGAAATTCTTCAATTGTCGGGCATACTTCTTGTCCTTCGAAGCTAAATAGATGTGTGACTGGGTTCTGGCATCGAATCGCGGCATGGAGGAATGGAAAGCAAAGAGAAGTTTGGCTTAAAGGAAAAAAGGGCATTTAGGCTGAAGCCACAGAAATTCACTTTTTTCGAGCCATCCAAAGTGGCTATCCAGCCTCGAAGCTTGCTAACACATAACATCTCCATTTTGAGAGCAAAATATCAAAGACTTGTGAGTTTGCCAGAAAAATAGCATGGGAGCACTATTTATAGAGTTTGAGAAGGGGCTGAGCATGACAGCTGGACAGCACTGACTGACATCACACTGATGGCTGACCGTGCATCACTTATAGCCGGCCGTGCATCAGTGAAACCCAGCCGGGTCTTGGTGCTGGCCCAATACAGATCAGTTGTAGCAAAAGCTGACCTTTGTTCAGGTGGACTTCAACTGTACTTTTGAGTTTTGTTTTGTTTGTACCAAGTGTTTTTTAGTTTTTTTGAGTTGTTTTCGTTTCATTTTTCTGTTATTGAGTTGTATTTTACATTTTGTTCGGTTGTGGTTCTTTATCTGATTCAAGAATGAATGTAAGAATCGATAGTTGTTGTTTCAAGTTTTATGTAAAGCTATAATGCAAGGGTTATACCATTCATTACATGCGAGTGCCATTCATCATCTTGTGCAAAGAGATCATTCAACAAAAACTTGTCTTTTATAACTGGTGGGACCAACCCCGATCATTGTTTTACAAAGCAAAAACAAAAGAAAAGTCTTCGAAATCAAAGGTCTATTCGAAGCTAGTTTTATAACTACATAACAAAACGAAAGCAAAAGCAAAATAAAAGCAAAATCATCATCGTCATCAGTAGCCTATCCTCGCTCTCTTCCTCCTCGGCTATGGAGGAGGTGCATCACTGTCATCGCTAGGGCTGCTCGACTATAGGTCAATCTTCTCTCCCTCGTCCTCAGGGGTCGTGGACTCATCAAAAGACTCCTCAAAGACGAGCGCTACCTCACTCAACCTCGGCCTCTCACTAGGCCCCATCTCCGCCTACTGGCTGTGGAAGGTCCTACAAGCACTGCTGGCGCCGGCTCAAGCTGAAAAGATGATAGATATCGGTAGGAGTAAACAAAGTGTATAGTATGGCAACAAGTACAGTATGACGACAACAGTGAACTGTAGATAGAATGTACCTCGATCCCATGGGTGACTAAGGCAGTCTGCCTCCTCCATACCATTAGGAGTAGCCGATCAATCATCCAAAAGAGCTCCTCACCAAATGCTCGGGAAATCTGCAAAAGAACAGAATCTGAGAAAGAAAAACAGAAGTAATAGTAAAACAATGAATAAGAATGGCAGAAAATAAGCTAAAGTACAGCATGGACTAGCATAAAAGGAAAGTGTACCTGCTTAAAGCCAGGGGCAAACACATGTCTACGGTCTCTCTCCTCAATGGGCTCAAGTGGGATCTACTCGATCGCTCCATCTGGACGCATGTATATGATCTCAGTGGGAATCACAGGCAATCCAGGAACGGGAGCAACGGCAAGGGCACCTTCGATAGGTGCATTACCAGCAGCAGCAGCAGTAACCTCTGGCACAGCTCGAACCACGCCTGGGGTAAAAGGCGCCATCACCCAAGTGTGTAAGAAAGTAGTGAAATCGCCGGGCTCATGGTGACGATCGCCATCCTCGCCTATCATCAAAAGGTCAAGCTCAGGACCGTCCTGTAGATCATCCACTACCCTCATCCTGGAAGAAGGAGAATATGGAATGTCAGGGTCAGCAACTCCCTGCGTCCTACGAATGAATCTCTCTCCTAAATAGTAAGCTCGGCCAAAGGGACCCTCAAACAGGATCCTCATTGTGGAGGCATGCTAGGCAGCAGTGTAGGTCGTCTTCGACACTGGGGAAATGCCCACCCAAGGGTGCCAGTCAATTTGAAAATACAGTGTCAGATGAGTATGTTAGTGCAGTATTAGAATGGCCATGCGATGTCAGAAATCAGTGTAATGTCAAAAGTCAGTGTAGTATGAGAATGGCAATATGGTATAGACGCAAAAACATAAAAGTGACCATATAGTGTGGGAAACAGTGCAATACCTGGTCCGCCGTGATGGTGTCAAAGAAGCGGCGAAAGTATGGGAATGTGCGATCTACAAGGTGACGTCGCTTGAACCGCGAGTTATAGTACCGAGAACAAGGTACTGACAACTCAATTGGCCTCACTGGAACTAGAGCTAGGGAAGTGAAATGTGTGTACACCCAAAGCTGGAAAAAATAGGCAAACAAAAGACATGAGAAAATGGATCAGATGAACAAGAGATGCAATGGTGAATAGAATGTAAAGCATATCAGAAAGGTGAGTGCAGGGTATACCTCCCAAACCTTCCAGTAGCCGCCAAGTGAATCCGCCTTGCGGCAGGAGACAGAGCTCATATAGTAGTATAAGGTGGCCAAGCCTGTGCTACCCCAATCGTACTCCACCATCCGAGGAAGGTGTACCAGTGCCCCTAGAATATATAACCCCACGGTATTTTCCCTGTTCGCAAACACGGTAGTACCAAGAAGATATATAAGAAAGCCGCGGGTGTACTGGGCAACCTCACCTGTAGTAGCTTGCTGAGTGCCGGAAAAGTGCTCTAGGAACCAGCTGTTGCGCACCATCCCGTGGCTGGTAGTGTCTGGGATCGCCCCAAGAAGCTGGAGTTATGCATCCCTCCACTGGGTCATTGGGCTGCTGACCCCAACCCGCAAACCAGTCAACATCGAGAAGTCATACGGGGTCAGTGTCATCTCCCTGATCGAAGAAAAGTGGAATAAGTCCGTGGTGTCCCACCATCTCTCCACCAGGGCCCCATAAAGCCAAAACTCGGCCCTCATCTGTATAAGCCCAGAGCAAAAGGGCCTAAAGTGAGCAGCATTTACTAAAGTGCAGACCTCAACGGAAAGCCGCTCGTACCAACGTCGGGGGCCAAATATAAAGCCGTAGCCGCCTATCCTCGTGGAGATCACCTATCAATTAGAAGTTTTATCAGTATATGTACCGCAAAGATAAGTGGTTTGTTCATCAATTTCAACTTTCAACATGTATGCAAAGTAAAATATAGGAAAATTTGCGTACCATGGAGGCATTGGCAAATATATGCTCCATGGGCTCTCGCAGTAGAGTGTCCTCATCTAGCCCTGGGATGAAGCCCTCAAATCTCAAGATGCCGCCTGCGGGTGGAACATGTGTACGTAGCTGGTATGTAGCCCCATCAAAGGGCCTTTCGGTAAGGGAAAACAATGCAGCAGCCTCCTCCGCCTCCATGTCTGCACCAAGGGCAGCACCAATACCTACGGTGGGGTCGAGAATAGGTACTTCGTCACTAGCCATAAAGATGAGTTGAAAAAGTGAGTGGTTGGGTGTTTTTCAAAACCAAAACCCTAGGAGAGAGAAAGTAAAGAGAGGATGGAAAATCAAAGGGGGAACAAGATAAGTGTGGGTAAATATGTGAGAATCTAAGAAAAATCAAGAGAAAACTCAAAACTTCACCAAATCAAAATCCAATTGGTTCAAATGGTGGAGGATCAAGAGGGTTTCAAGGAAAAGTTTTGCAAAAGTTGTTGGGTAACTTAAGAAAGAGGAAATCTAGAGAGAGAGGAAGTTTAGAGAGAGAGGAGGGGGTGTTTTCGGATGAGGAAGTGCGAGGAAATAAGAGTTGTTTTGTGTTTTAAACAACCACGAGCGTGGCTTTTCTCGATTCTGCCCTTGCCGCTATCGAAGGCCGGCTGGCTGTATCAAAGCCTGGCCGTGCATCACCGAGGCCCAGTCGGCCTTCAGTGATTTCAATTATGTTTTTGTTTTTGTTTTGTTTGTGTGTGTTGCTGGTTATTTTATTTTATTATTGTTTTAATTTTGGGTTTTAATTTTGAGTTATAATTGTGGGTTTTAATGTGGGTGAAGGAGTTGTATGATAACAATAAAAATGAAAAAGATACAAAAATGAGTGCTGAAAAAAAAGGAAAAAAAAAAGAGGCAAAATAGCAAAGAGATCAAAAGAAATAAAGAGAGTGAGCAAAATATCCACGTTGTTTTGTTTTGTTGCGTGAGTGCATAATTTGATTTATTTTATTCTTGATTGATTTTTGTTTGATTTGTTTAAACTCATTAGTTTAAATTCATGATGTAACTTGTTTTATTGATGACTTGTTTTGTCTAATTCGTAATTCATTCCGTCATTTCTTACCACACGATATTGTATATATGATTTATTCAGAGAAGTTCCGGATAGGCCATTCATGTCTCGGTACGAGAACCTGCATAGCTTTGTAGCTAAGATCTTGCGTGCATCTATCACACTTGTTCACTTTGTCAATCTATCGCACTTGTTCACTTTGTGCATCTATCGCATGCATTCACTTTGTGCATCTATCGCACTTGCTCACTTTCGTGCATCTATCGCACACCCCTCTGTTGTTTTACCTTGAGATATACGAAGTACGCGCCCCGAGTGGTTGTTTCTCAGGACGCGTGAAACGCGGCCCTGGGCGGGTTTGATCTCGGGACGTACGACGTATGCGCTAAATGGTTGTTTCTCAGGACGCATGAAACACGGCCCTGAGTGAGTGGTTGTTTCTCAGGACGCGTGAAACACGGCCCTAGGCGGGTTTTACCTCGAGACGTACGAAGTACGCGCCCGAGTGGTTGTTTCTCAGGATGCATAAAACACGGTCTTAAGTGAATGGTTATTTCTCAGGACACGTGAAACGTGGCCTTGGGCGGGTTTTACCTTGGGACATACGAAGTACGTGCCCGAGTGGTTGTTTCTCAAGAGGCATGAAACACGGTCTTGAATGAGTGGTTGTTTCTCAAGACGCATGAAACGCAGCCCTGGATGGGTTTTACTTCGAGACGTGCGAAGCATGGTCCCGAGTGCTTGTTTCTCAAGTTGCGTGAAACGCGACCTTGAGCAGTTTCTTGTTTCTCGGGACGTGCGAAGCACAACCCCGAGTGATTTTTGTTCTCAGTTTCTCAAGATGTGTGAAACGCAACCCTGAGTGGTGTTTTCTTTTCACTTTTTTAGCTTGAAGCTGCTCATTCATATGTTATCTCGTTATCTTGCTTATTTTGTTATTGCTTATTACATCATCTCGCATGATCATAAGTTTTAAAAGCACCGGCTTTGCGTGGCATGTAAGTCCAACTTCCAAAATTGCATTGTGCATATCAATTGCATTTTGCCCCTGAACTACATTGGTTTGATTCCTTGCAAAGGGGGTACGTAACCAGCCTGAGGGCGTAACCATTTTATTTATGTCTTCCTTTCTTTCTCAAGTCTTACGACCTTGTCAAAATGGGTCGTCTCTAAGCTTTGACATTCACTCACGTCATTTCATGACTTCGAGCTCTATCAAAGAGGGGCAACTGTAGACACTCCGTTTTTGACCGCCCGCAAGACTTAGGCGCTTGGTTCGATACACTCGATGATGAAAGATGAATTGTGAATTCGCAGCGATTCGGATTCAATCAGGCTCTCGAAATAACCTCAAATCCTTAACATTTACCTTGTTTGAACCTATGAGTTTCATTTTTGGACCTTTTTCCACTCTGAGTTGAGTTTGAACCTGTCACGACCCAAACCTGCCCCTAAAAGTTTGGTCCATGACTGGCCTGTATGTAGGCCTCAAAACAGAAATTTTAGAATAATATTTATTCACATACAGGGCCTTAAGCGGAAGTAATATCAATAAAAGACAACATCCATTGAGCTTGTGCATACATGATGGCTTAAGTAATTTAGCAGTTAAATACATTCCCATAGTTACATATACAATCACAGAATTATACAGACCTCACACACACTTAAATAAAACTCCAGAAATTACATAACTCCCAGTAATCAAAATTAAGGCCTCAACACGGAGGCGTACCCCAGACGGCTTGGCAAACAGGTTGACCTCAATACAATTCTAGTGCTAATCCCCGATGGCTCACCTACATAGGCTCAGTGAATAATAGTACTTGAATGCGTTAATACTCAATTAAACTTGTAACACATATAAAAGCGTAAGTAATGCAGAAATCATGTAATTAGTCTGATTCCGTAAATCATTGCAGAATGACTTTGTCGGTTCACAACTTCACAATTTGGCCCTTGGCCTGATGGGTTCACATATTCACAAATTAGCCTTTGGCTTTATAGATTCATAATTGAGGTTCATGACTTCACAAATTGGCCCTTGGCCTTTTGGATTCATAGTTTCACAAGTTGGCCCTCGGCCCCGTGGATTCATATTTCACAAGTTACCCTCAGCCTCACAGATTCATATTTCACAAGTTCTTTTGATGTTTCCATAATTTCACAATGTTTCTCACATAGCATACATGTCAACATGATTTTTGCGAAGAATATAACGTCAATAACAATAAATATTAACGGTTAAAGGCACATCGAAGTACTAACAGAACAATTTATATCATGTCATGGCATAAACATATCAATTAAACAGAACAGAATATCCCTAGGTCCATAAAAATATAATTCATAATAGTGTTCATAAGATACCCCATGTCCCCTTGCAATTCAACATAATTATCTTATACGTCTCAGAACATTAACAATACTCATCGACAGAAGTCACAGGTATCATTATTGTACGATCAGTAGGGACAGAATAATTCACCTTATAACGCGAGTCACACGATAAAGGTATTGATTTCCAGTTCCTTCCTCAGTAGTCATTAACGTATAAAACACCCTGTAGCTTTATTTGTTTATTATTTCCGGTGATCATATTAGGCAAACATCTATGTCATAAGGCATGTATTGCAACATATAGACTATAGAAGTCCCTGGTAGGACCTTCAAAATCTCATATTTCCGGTAAGCGGGATTTACATTCTGAATTTATTTCCAAACAACGTAAACGTTAACGTAATTACTTGCAAAGAACAGAGTGTTAATAATAAGAATCATTAAAGATCCTAAATGTATATTTATAGTACTACTACTCACAGTGGTAGGTCTCTGATAGCGGTGGAACGATGTCCTCGTCTTGACCTACAAACACAATGCACATAGCAGATTATGAGGATAAAACCAATCTCTTTCTTATTCCTTAATCAATAGCCATGGTGGTTCTAAACTCATTAGTCCTCCATAGGTTATAATCCATGCCTCAGAAGATAGGAGGAATCGATAGGAAAATAGTTTCAGTGAAGAAATGGCACAAAATCGGTAGATAGAAAGTGAGCAACTCTCACTAATTTGGGCATAACTATTTCTGTAATTATAATTTGGGAGTTAGACTACCATCAATGGAAACTAGACTTCCGGGGCTTGATTTTAGGCTCAAGAATCACTCAAAACGGAGTCCGGATGCAAAAGATATGCTTATTCAAAGTTACTTAGTACATGCTGAAACAGGGGTGGCTGCTCGTGCGCCCACTTTGGCCGCTCGTGCGGTGGCTGGGCCGCTCGAGCGGTGGGTTAAGCAGAATGCAATACTCTATTTTTCTCATGTGCCGCTCGTGCGGTGCCCATGGCCGCTCGTGCGGTCTGGGCAAAATTAGACAGTCTGAAAATGGCTTTTGATTTGGAACTTCTCATTTTCAAAACCAAACTTCAATTTCATGAAATTCAAAGCCCAAAACTCTTTAATACATGATAAATTTCACATTCTTAGCTTCCACTCCAATTCATAACTCCAAACTACTATTCAATCTCTCTATCACAAGAACAAGATTACAAATTAGAACACAAAACATAAAATAGCCATGGTTTGAGGTTCAAACTCCCCTACATGTGGAATCCCTTTTAAGCCTCCTTAAGAACCATAAAACTCCTACAAGAAATTAAATTATGACATAAATCCATGCTATATGCAAGGATTCAACGCCTTTTTACTTGAAGGAACAAAACCCATACATATCATCATAAATAATCCAAGAAATTCACTCTTTAGCTTATGATCTTTAAATATTGAGAGGGAAACTCTTACCTTAACAATCATTTTGCTCATTGATGGCTTTGGAATCAATTTCAACCTTCTCTCGAGGCTTCCCCATGACAAAGAAGGAAGAAGGGACAAACAGAGCTTCAGAATGCTCTGTCTGCACTGGTTTCACCTCAGAACACAAAAAAAGAGCTTTGCACCAAATTGATGCATGGCCAGCCATCTGTAGGCCCGGCCGGCCATCAGTGACGCACGACCGGCCCTTAGTGTGTGGCTAGCAGTGCAGTTTTGCAGAAAACAAAGGCAGTGGCTGAAGGTGAAACAGAGGCGGCTTGGGTAGACATAATAGTTTTCAGGCGTTGCGCACGCAACCTTTATCTCTCTTCCCACAAAATCAAATTTCAATTAAATCTTCCAGATGACTCTAAAAATTGTGCTGATCATAAATATGTCCTCTGTTTTGGTTTCTGAAGCCTCTAAGTCCTTCAATTTGCAGTACAAAGTTAACGACTCAAACGTGCATTAACGAATCAGACAAATTAGATTTCCAATTAATTTTTCCAAATAATTCTAAAAATTCACATTAACACACTCAAGTACTTAATTTTGATTTTTGAACCCATAAAGATCGGTAATTCGATTTTAAAGTCGTAACTCAACTGATAATGCTTCGATTCAAACAGATATCATTAAATTAAAAGGCATTAACCCACAAGGACATAAAAGTAAATTCAGATACGGATTTTGGGGTCGTTACAGAACCAAAAAAACAAGGGAGGGCATCAAGGCCCGACCGTGCATCAGTGATGGCCGGCCGTGGCTATGAATGGACAGCCGGCCTTGGTGTCTTGACCTACAAACACAATGCACATAGCAGATTATGAGGATAAAACCAATCTCTTTCTTATTCCTTAATCAATAGCCATGGTGGTTCTAAACTCATTAGTCCTCCATAGGTTATAATCCATGCCTCAGAAGATAGGAGGAATCGATAGGAAAATAGTTTCAGTGAAGAAATGGCACAAAATCGGTAGATAGAAAGTGAGCAACTCTCACTAATTTGGGCATAACTATTTCTGTAATTATAATTTGGGAGTTAGACTACCATCAATGGAAACTAGACTTCCGGGGCTTGATTTTAGGCTCAAGAATCACTCAAAACGGAGTCCGGATGCAAAAGATATGCTTATTCAAAGTTACTCAGTACATGCTGAAACAGGTGTGGCTGCTCGTGCGCCCACTTTGGCCGCTCGTGCGGTGGCTGGGCCGCTTGAGCGGTGGGTTAAGCAGAATGCAATGCTCTATTTTTCTCATGTGCCGCTCGTGCGGTGCCCATGGCCGCTCGTGCGGTCTGGGCAAAATTAGATAGTCTGAAAATGGCTTTTGATTTGGAACTTCTCATTTTCAAAACCAAACTTCAATTTCATGAAATTCAAAGCCCAAAACTCTTTAATACATGATAAATTTCACATTCTTAGCTTTCACTCCAATTCATAACTCCAAACTACTATTCAATCTCTCTATCACAAGAACAAGATTACAAATTAGAACACAAAACATAAAATAGCCATGGTTTGAGGTTCAAACTCCCCTACATGTGGAATCCCTTTTTAGCCTCCTTAAGAACCATAAAACTCCTACAAGAAATTAAATTATGACATAAATCCATGCTATATGCAAGGATTCAACACCTTTTTACTTGAAGGAACAAAACCCATACATATCATCATAAATAATCCAAGAAATTCACTCTTTAGCTTATGATCTTTAAATATTGAGAGGGAAACTCTTACCTTAAACTTTCATCATCACTTATTCTTGCATATCCATGAAGAATTCAAGCCAAATCCTTGATTTCCTCTTCCACTCTAACTCTTTCTCCCTTCTTCTCCTTGAGTTCTCTCAAAAACTCTCCCTCTCTCGCGTGTCTTCCCATCTCCCTTAGATATTTTTGGCTTTTCAAAGATGAGTTCAACCACCCAAAACATATCTACTTATATAAATATATGCCCACATAAGTTTAACACAATAAGGAGGGCCAAACGCAGCCTTACGAATCGCACAAAATCAAATTTCAATTAAATCTTCCAGATGACTCTAAAAATTATGCTGATCATAAATGTGTCCTCTGTTTTGGTTTCTGAAGCCTCTAAGTCCTTCAATTTGCAGTACAAAGTTAACGACTCAAACGTGCATTAACGAATCAGACAAATTAGATTTCCAATTAATTTTTTCAAATAATTCTAAAAATTCACATTAACACATTCAAGTACTTAATTTTGATTTTTGAACCCATAAAGGTCGGTAATTCGATTTTAAAGCCGTAACTCAACTGATAATGCTTCGATTCAAACAGATATCATTAAATTAAAAGGCATTAACCCACAAGGACATAAAAGTAAATTCATATACGGATTTTGGGGTCGTTACAGAACCAAAAAAACAAGGGAGGGCATCAAGGCCCGGCCGTGCATCAGTGATGGCCGGCCGTGACTATGAATGGTCAGCCGGCCTTGGTGGCGAAAAACACTATTCTAGGTAGGAGCCCCGCCAGTTGTCCATTTTTGAAGATATTTATCACCTTTTGAGATCGAATTCTATAAAAACGAAGCTGTGTGATTGTTTTGAGGGTTAAACAAAATTTAGAGAGCCTATATACACCTTGAGAGCTCCTTCTCCTCATTCTTCCATTGCAAGCAATCTTTGAGCTAACCTAGCTTCCTTGTATCATCTCTATACTCCATATACAACCTTATCTCACCACCTTAGAGTCTTGGTTGATCTTGGAGAAGCATAATTCAAGCTTGAGAGTGAGTTGAAACCAAGTTTGGATCATCAACAACAAGCTTACCCCTTGAAAGGTATAAGCTTGTTATCTTCTCTCTTGTTTTCATTTCTCACACTTGCATTATAATTCTCACTGTTTTGTATTGTTTTGAGTCTATTTGAAGTGTTTAAGGTTGGGTTTGAAGAGCTACCAAAAGAGTAGAGAGAGCTTGCTCTGTCTACACTTTTACCTAAAACTCAAACCCTTCCATTTCCACACTTTTCTTTGATATTTACACTGATTTTCAGAGTTTTCAAAAGGCTAAAAATCATGTTTTGAGGTTTCAAAAGTGGAGGGGTTAGCCACCCTTCCTTTCTCTTGTTTACTAGCCTTCATTCCTCTCTTTATTGTTTAGCTTTTTAAGCTCTTTTAATACATGTCTAGCCTCTGTTTTTATGTATTAAGGACTGTTTTAGGGCTATCCAAGCCTTTAAAATTAGTTCATGCTTTGTTTAGTTCATTTGTGGTCTTACAAATTAGCATATATAACTTGTTACATGTTGTTCCAAGCAATCCTTTACTCATTTCCATGTTTAAGAGTCTAAGTTTAACAATTAATCCACTATCCATCTTTTTCATTCTTAAGAATGATTTCAACTGATTGAGGTTGTTCAAGATATGTAAAAAAGATTCCTACTTAATGGCTTAATCTTTTCGAAGATTCATTGCCAACGGCATAGTCTCTCTCTCATGCTTTAGAAAAACCTCTCATTTGACATTACATCTTGTTTAGAGGACTTTAACATCACCATGGACAAATGGACTAAAGAATGGCAAGGCTTAATAAAATTGGTTTAAAACTTGGATCAACACACATAAAGAAAGTGGCTTAAATTGCTTCAAATTGGCCAGACGTTATGCCAAGTTACTTGTCCAAGAGTCGTTACATGCTAATCCATGGCATTTTGATGATTCTTAAGGCGTTGCAACTTCTCTTTTTGAGTTCGTACTATGACAAGAGGGAGGGGTGGTCTTACTCTTTGCATTTTATTAACTTTTCTCCAAAATTTCATTTGAGACCATCAAGCGATCAATTTGCTCATTGATGGCTTTGGAATCAATTTCAACCTTCTCTCGAGGCTTCCCCATGACAAAGAAGGAAGAAGGGACAAACAGAGCTTCAGAATGCTCTGTCTGCACTGGTTTCACCTCAGAACACAAAAAAAGAGCTTTGCACCAAATTGATGCATGGCCAGCCATCTGTAGGCCCGGCCGGCCATCAGTGACGCACGACCGGCCCTTAGTGTGTGGCTAGCAGTGCAGTTTTGCAGAAAACAAAGGCAGTGGCTGAAGGTGAAACAGAGGCGGCTTGGGTAGACATAATAGTTTTCAGGCGTTGCGCACGCAACCTTTATCTCTCTTCCATTACGCTCTTATCAAATGCGATTAATTGTTTCATTAGTATTATTATTATTATCATAGTTGTGAATAAATCTTGTTGTAATTCATTAGTGATAGCTAGTCAATTTTATTCAAGTGTTGTATTTATTTTAATTAGTTAGTGATAGCTAGTTAATTAATTCAAGTGTTTTAATAATTAGTTAAGTAGTTTAACTATTTATTTAGTTTGTAATAGTTAGCTTAATTAGCTAGTTAG